TTTAGCACCACGGGGTGGATAGGCCAGACAATTTGGTTGATAAGGCGCAGATCCTGAACTAACCTGTAAGCCTTGTCTGGTTTCAGGACAGGTAAAATGGGGGAATTGTAAGGGAAGTTTATAGGTTTTAAAAGACCACGCTGTGATAACAGGCTTTAATCCTTTTAAAGCATGCTGTGGGATGGGATATTGGCATTGAGCAGGGTAAGAGTGATTAGGTTTTCATAGGATAGTAAGGGATGCATGATCAGTCGCTAAGGAGGGAGTAGAGGTGTCCTATACTTGTGGTTTAAGGTGGGGAGATACGAGGGGAGGATGTGAAGGAGGCTTTGAACTGGGGGAAAAGGTGGCAATGAGGTGTGGCTGTAGCCCAGGAATAGTCAGGGAAGCAGATAATTAAAATGTCTCAACCTAATAAGGGAGCTGGGCAGGTCGGGATAACTAAAAAGGAGTGCATAAAAGAATGTTGTCCAAGCCGGCACCAGAGTTGGGGAGTTTTAACAGGTTTAGAAGCCTGGCCGTCAATACCCACAACAGTTATGGAGGCAAAGAAAACAGGCCCTTGAAAAGAATGTAATGTGGAGTGAGTAGCCTCTGTATTGATTAAGAAGGGGATAGACTTACCCTCCACTGTGAGAGTTACCTAAAGTGTCTGTGATGGTCCTGTAGGCTTCCGAGGCAATCGGGCAGCGTCAGTCTTTAGCCACTAAGCCAAGAAGATCTGGGAAGGAGTCAGTCAGAGAGCCTTGGACCAGAGTTCCAGGGGCTCTGGGAGTGGCTGCCAGGCGAGGTGGACAGTCCGATTTCCAGTGGGGTCCCATACAGATGGGACACAACTTAGAAGGAATCCCAGGCTGCAGGCATTCCTTGGTCCAGTGGCCAGATTTCCGACACTTGAAGAAAGTTCCTTGGGGAAGCGGTCCTGGAGGAACGCCTGGTCACTGTGGTTTAGGCATTTGGAAGTTCTTGTGTGCTGGAGATGTGGCTGGGATTTTGTCTCACAGTGGAGGCATGTAATTGTAACTTTTCTTTATTATTGTACACCTTGAAGGCAAGGCTAATTAAGTCCTGTTGTGGGGTTTGAGGGCCGGAATTTAATTTTTGGAGCTTTATTTAACAATAATTATTACATTGCCCTTAATATTTACAGGTATAATATGTATAACAATAGCACAAATACTGGGGAAAGAAAATAAAGCTATATATATATTATTTAATGTCGGGAGTGGATTGGGTAATAAAATAAAATGCATATTGAGAATAAGATGGCCTTCTGACCTTCCAGGGTCTAGGGCTGTAAAACGTCTAGGGTTGCTGCCAAATGAGCCATGAACTGGGCTGGGTTTTTATATTTGATGAAAAAGAGCCTAAATGCTAACTGATTTGGGAGAGGTCGGATAAAAAAAAGGAGCATTAATCTTGACTATGCCTTTAGCTTCAGCCACCTTTTTAAGAGGAAATTGCTGGGCAGGTGGGGGAGGGCTAGTGGTAGAATGAAACTGTAAGCTGGACCGGGTGTGAGGAGGGGAGGTGATAAAAGAATTATAGGGTGGGGGAGTGGAGGCTGAGGAAGAACTGGGACCTGGCGAGGAGCAGCCTGGGGAGGAGGGGAGAGGTCAGATGGGTCTGTAGAAAAGGAAGATTCAAAAAACTCCGCGACGCTTGGGGCTGGGACTGAGGGGACAGGTGGGAGGGGAAGAAGGAAGATTTGGGATAAGTCTCATTGGGAGCAGAGACTAGGGAGGGACTAATGTGTAAAAGAATGCCTGGACATCAGGCACCTCAGACCGTTTGCCCATTTTACAACAAGAATTATTTAGGTCTTGTAGGATGGAGAAATTGAAAGTGCCATTTTCTGGCTATTTGGAACCATTGTCAAGTTTGTATTGGGGTCAAGCAGTATTGCAGAAGAAAATTTAGATTTTAGGTCAGGTGAGAGTTGAAGAGTTTTAAGTTCTTGAGAACACAGGCCAAGGGAGAAGGAGGAGGAATGGAGGGTGGAAGGCTGCCCATAGTGAAGGAGGCAGGTTTAAAGAGAAGGGGTAGAGACACGGAGAGAAGGGGTGGGGGGTGCTTGCCCCTAGGAAAGTAGTGCTTGCTGCTAAGGGTGAAGGACCAAGGCAGGCGTCCCCGCGTGGTCAGACACCTCTGAAACGTGGGTGAATAATCAGGCAGGCGTCCCCGTGTGATTAAACACCAAGGGAAGACTGTCTTCCCAAGTCTGTGACCGGCGCCGGAGTTTTGGGTCCACCGATAAAACGCATCTCCTTTGTCTCTACCGGGAAAGGAAAGGAACTGAAATGAAGAGAAGGGAGAGATTGAAGTGTGGCGCCAAGATTGAAAGGAGAAAAGAGGTTGAGAGATAGTGAGAGAGCTTGGAGAAGAGACTAAAGAGAGGCCGCTTACCCGATTTAAAATTGGTGAGATGTTCCTGGCGCTGGTTAGTCTGAGGACCAGAGACCATAGGTGGATCTTTCACAGAACAAAGAGCAGGAGGACAGGGGATTGATCTCCCAAGGGAGATCCCCCAATCCGAGTCACGGCACCAAAATTTCATTCGCATCCCATGTGAAGAGACAACCAAACAGGCTTTGTGTGGGCAACAAGGCTGTTTGTTTCACCTGGGTGCAGGCCGGCCGAGTTCGAAAAGAGAGTCAGCGAAGGGAGATAGGGGTGGGGCCGTTTTATAGGATTTGGGTAGGTAAAAGAAAATTACAGTCAAAGGGGAGTTGTTCTCTGGTGGGCAGGAGTGAGGGTCACAAGGTGCTCGGTGGGGGAGCTTTTTGAGCCAAGATGAGCCAGGAGAAGGAATTTCACAAGGTAATGTCATCAGTTAAGGCAGGAACAGGCCATCTGGATGTATACATGCAGGTCACAGAGGATATGATGGCTTAGCTTAGGCTCAGAGGCCTGACAACATGCAGAACCATCTGTGAACCAGGCCTTAGTCTTTTCTTCCTCTGTCCACTGATCATAAGGAACTCCCCATAAGGCCACTGGTGCAGGCTAGGGGAGAGCAGGCAGGGTGGCAGGAGTGGGGACCATGGGCATTTGAGCCACTTCTCATGTAACTCACTTGTGCCTTCAGGACCTGCTCAAGCCCGATCATGTACATACCACTTCCATTTGATAATGGAATGCTGCTGTGCATGCCCCACTCTATGGCTAGACAGGTCAGCAAGCACCCAGTTCATGATAGGTAGTTCAGGTCACATGGTGACTAGATGACCCATAGTCAAATGTTCAGTTTCTACCAAAACCCAGTAACAGGACAAGAGCTATCTCTCAAAAGGAGGGCATCTTTTTCCCGTGCTGGATGCTTCCTGCCCTCGCACACTGGACTCCAAGTTCTTCAGATTTCTGCTCATATAAATTAGAAAACTCAAGCAGTTCTTTTGGAGTGTAGTGCACTTCCATGGGGGTTACACTTTGAACTGCTGGGACTTTAGTTATAGGTCTAGAAGCAAACAGGGATGTTGGGGGTGGTTCCTGAGGAGAATAAACATTATCTTGCCTGGCAACTGCCTCAGGGGAGGCCATCACTGTTGCCTCAGGCAGCACAGAGTTTATCTTCTCAGACAAAGATGCAAAGGCTTGTGGCAGCATGGGTTGGGGAGGGGATGTTGCCACTATTGGGGATGGGGAAGCTGCTTCTTCTGGTAAAAAAGATTCATCAGAGTTTACAAACTCAGTGTCTCCAGCTTCATTTGGTCCTTCCACACATCCCCATTCCAAGGTTCAGGATCCCATTCTTTTTCAATCAATGCCCTCACTTTAAGAGTAGACACCTGGCAAGGCTGTGCATGCACCTTTCATTGCAGGTCAGCCACTTGCATGATAAGAGCTTGTGTATGTTTTTCTACAATTTCAGCTCTTTATCAGTGTTCTCCACACTATTAGAAGTAGAGTCCTTAACATTTTTGTGTTTAATCATATTAAGCAGCCAACTCCAGAAACCCCAAAACCAACAAAAGAAACTCCATCCTTAATATTCTGTTCCTCTAGAACCACTCCTGGTACCAAAATCTGTATTAGTTAGGATTCTCTAGAGGGAAAGAAGTAATAGAAGATAGATATAGATATAGATAGATGAAAGTTTATTAAGTATTAACTCACATGAGGGCAGGAAGCATCTGCACAGGAGAAAGATGGAGGCTGGGAGGCTAGGCCAGTCTAGTCTTTTCACATTTTTCACCTGCTTTATATTCTAGCCATGCTGGCAGCTGATTAGATGGTGCCCACCCAGATTAAGGATGTGTCTGCCTTTCCCAACCCACTGACTCAAATGTTAATCTCCTTTGGCAACACCCTCACAGACACACCAGGATCAGTACTTTGAATCCTTCAATCCAATCAAATTGACAGTATTAACCATCATAACACACAATCACTTTTGGATGAGAGTTGTTTTAACAGGGCTCTCTTCATCTGTCTCTTTCCCTTATGTCTCTGTTAAGCTCTCTGCCTTTTTGGGTACAACACCAAAAATTAAGGAGAAGTGTGTCACTGTTTCACCACTAAAAATGCAGTAGTATATTTTTTGAACTATATAACAAAACTAAAGCAGTTGAAACATTGTCAATTTGCCTGATAACATAATGATATAAGAGGGAATGGGTAACCAATGAAATAATTATCAGTTATATTCATCTTGTTATCATGTTCATAAGCTAGCAATTCTGCTTTTGCAAATACAAAGCAACTTTCCTAATTAGCCATAAATAGAAAGTAAATTGAAGAGCACTTGAAATATTTCTGCAAGCATATTCTAAGGTCATTATAGCATTAGACTTTTATGGATAACTTTTTAAATAAATGAGCCCTAAAGTTAATTTTCTATTGAGAATAAATACTAGAGTTCAACTAATTATAGGAGGAAATTCATGAAGACTTTTTCTCATGTAATAATTACATATAGGTACTGTTGTCATTAGAGATACATACTTAAACTCCAGAGAAGATAGTAAACCATAAGTAGATTTAAAAATTCTTATTCTTACCAGGGTGACTGTTTCTCTTTAACTGTGTCTTCATTGCATTATTTATTGCACCTCTCTCAGTTGCACGACGCAATCGTTCATCAGTCTCTATAAAAGCAAACAGATTTCAAAACACTTTTCTAACATAAATATTAACGTGTGTGTGCATGTGTCTAATACTATCCTAATTAATATTCTTCATTAGAGTAGAAGAATTATAATAAAATGTCCAGATTGTAGCAACATAGGAACTTAAATTGAAAGGACAATTAACAATCATATAAACCTCATTATATGTATACCATATAGCAAGTAATAACAAAATTGAGGCACAGACTTATGCTACCTAATTTCTTAACTATTTTTTCCATATAATGCAATCTCATATGCAAATTTAAATCACACTAGTTTGTGGTAATAACATAACTTTCAAGGATATATTAAGAACATATGCATGTTGTAGGGGTATATCTGGTGAGGTGGAACATAAATTTTTTTTTCATAATTGACCTATCTGTACACAACGGTCATCACAACTCACAAAATGTGATAAAACAGAAGTTCCTTGACTCATCCAGAAATATTTTAATACTTTATTTTAGGTGGTGTACCTATAATTCAATTAGGCATCAGTGATAAAAAAAAGAATAAGAAATAACGCATGTAATGAGAAAAAGTCTCTTCTCTCTGGTTCTCTTAGCAGGTAGACTTTGTAGCTGGAAAGAAGAAAACAGGAATATTTGCAGTAGTACCAGCATTAGGATTGTATTCCTTTTCATTTGAGTTTTATGTGATTTATACACTTTGTTGGATTTAGAAACTAGTATCTAGGTATAATGATGGAAAAACTAAAAAATCTACTAAAAGGAATTTCATATTGAAAAAGGGATAATTAGAATTGGTAAACCTGGTTTATTAAACCTAAAGTTTTTTTGTGTCAAAGTTGGTTCTAGCAGAGCATGTAATGGTAGTTGGACACCTGTAATGATCCTGAACAATAGAGTAGAAGTCTTGCTTTGGAATATTGGCCAAGCCCATGATTAATGTTAAAATTTGCACTATTATCATGTCAGCCCAAATAAACCACCAATATAATTCAAATAGAGGCAGAAACCAGATTACGCATCATTGTAAAAATGCATCATATTGGCCAGGTCAGTGGCTCATGCCTGTAATCCCAGCACTTTGGGAGGCTGAGGTGGGCGGATCTCGAGGTCACGAGTTCGAGACCAGCCTGGCCAACATAGTGAAACTTTGTCTCTACTAAAAATACAAAAATTAGCAGGGCGTGGTGGCAGGCACCTGTAGTCCTAGCTACTCAGGAGGCTGAGGCAGGAGAATCACTTGAACCCAGGAGGCAGAGGTTGTGGTAAGCTGATATTGTATCACTGTACTCCAGCCTGGGCAACAGAGTGAGACACTGTCTCAAAAAAAACAACAACAACAACAACAACAAAAAAACCATCATATTGGACAAAATGAGTTTTCAATAATTCAGTAACAACATTTTGTAAAAGTAAAGCTATATGCAACAGAAAACTGAGGAACATTAACAGGTGCATTTCAGCTCTTTTGTCTTTCTCCTACAGATACAAGTAAGAAAGGCTGATTCATTTGAATTAAGAAATCAGAGGATTTTTAGATAAGCAAGGAGTCAATGAGGAGAGCATTTTAGAGTTAAACACTAGGAATACAAAGTTATGTGCTGGAGAAATTTATCAACTAGTAAAAGTCACAATTTTCCTCCCTTACATTATTATCTTGTTGCTTTAAATTTTACAAAATCTTATCCTGCTTAGAGTTCCTGAGCTTTTAAAAATGTGTATATTTTTAAATTTGTAAATTTAAACCAAAATAAAACCATACTATTTTTCCATTTAAAGTGTCCAATTCAATGCTTATTACAGAAATGTGTAATTATTGCCTCAGTCAACTTTATAATCTTTTTCACATTTACACAAATTGCATTCTACTGAGATACAGAAACACTACTCCTTTATATATAGCTTTATTCTCTTTCCCCAGTATTTATGCTATTGTTATACATATTATACCTGTAAATATTAAGGACAATGTACTAATTATTGTTATAATTATTTCTTTGTATAACTTTATACCTTTTAAATAAACTGAGAAAAGAAACAAGACGAAGTACATGTTTATAGTATTTGTTATATGAACACACTTATTTACATTTTTTGGTTCTTTTTATTGTTGCTCTGTATTTATCATCCAGTGTTATTTTCTTACAGTGCTACATCACTTCTCTCTCCTATCACCTTTGTGCTGCTATTGTGAATATATTACAAGTTGATATGTTATATGCCCAATGATACAATTATATAAATATTTTTATACAGTTGTCTTTTAGATAAATTAAGAAAAGAAAGGAGGTGGAATATATATTTATACATACTGTCTTTTGCAATTATAACATTTAACTCATACCTTTTTTAGGGGGATTCAAATTACTGTCAAGAGGTCAATTCCTTTTAGCCTAAACAAATTTCTTTAGAATTTCTTGGAAAACAGTTCTGCTAGAAATGAAATCTCTCAATTTTTAATTATTTAGCAATTTCATTTTTCACCTTTTCTGAAAAATAGTTTTGCTAGCAATAAAATTATTGCTTGGTAGATTTTTTTTTCTTTCAGCACTTTTAATATACAACACCATGGCCTTCTGGACTTCATAAGTTTCTAATGCTAAGACAGATGTTAATCTTACTGGGGTTACCTTCTGTGGGATGAATTGTTTTTCTATTGATGCATTTTACAATTTCTCTTTGTCTTTCAACATTTTTACAATGATTACTTTGGTCATGGATTGATTTGTGTTTGTTCTACTTAGATTTAATAGAACTTGGATATATAGATTAATATGACCCAGTAAATATTTTTCAAAGTATTCAGCCATTTTTCTTCAAATATTTTTTCTTATTCTCTCTCTACTTGGAATACTCTCATTCTGGTATTCCCATTATATTAAGTTTGCTTACTCCTTCTGACAGTTCAAATCTTTCCTTGACCCTCTAATGAATTTTCCCTTGCAGTTATTTTACCTTTCAATTCCAAACATTAATTTGGTTCTTTAAAAAGTTTAATTTGTATCACAATGTTGACATCTATTTGATAAAAGAGTGTCATTATACCTTCTTTTTCTTCTTTCAGAAGAGTTTTAATTATTTGATGATGATATTATTATTATTTGACTACTTTGTAGTCATTGTCTGCTAAATCTAACATGTAGGACTCTCACAGGCAGTTTTCCTTGCCTTTTTCCTGGTATTTGTGTTACAGAGTACTGTTTCTGTGCATGTCTTAATTTTTTTTGCTAAAATCTGGACATTTTAGATAACGTATTATAGCAAATCTGTATGTTGGTTGACTCTTCCTTTTTGGGGGGCTTGTTGTTCTTGTTTTCTTGTTTCTTATTGTTGGTGGTGGTGGTGGGGTGTGTGTGTGTGTTTGTGTATGTGTGTGATTTGACAGAAGTATTTTCCTAAAGTCTCTATCCTCTACAGTGTAAAGTCTCTTATGTTGCTCTTTAAGGGCATCTCCTTGGGCATCAAACAGTCTCCCTTGGATGACAGTGGTTTTTAGCAGGGCACTCTTTGAATGTCTCTTTCCATTATTTATTTGCTAAAGTGTCTTCTTTTGGTATCACACCAACGGTCACAGAGAAGTGTGTCTAACCCTGTAACCCCGGGACTAAATTCAGTTGTGTAATCTCTGAAAAATATAACTAAATAACTTTATTGCAGCTGAGATGTTACAAACTTGACTGATATTTTTATCATATAGAGTGAACTGGTAACCAATAAAATTATTATCTGTTATATTCATCTTCTTATCACATCTATCATCTGGCCTTTCTGCTTTTGAAAAGCTAATTTTACATTGCTAGTTGAAACTAGAGTTGAAATATTATAGAGGGGAATTCACGAAGACTTTTGCTATGTAATAATGTATAGGCACTGTTCTCCTTGAAGATGCACACTTAGTTACACTCCAGAGAACAAAACTAACCAGAAATACTAAATATGTAAAGTTTTTGTTCCTACCAGGGAGACTCTTTGATCGTGTCTTGAATTCATCCTTTAGTATATCTCTTCCAAATGCATCTGTCAATTGTTCTATTTCAGACCCTATAGAAATAAACAGATATCAAAACACTGTAAGGTAATCATTTATATACAAATGTGACCGTGTGTGTGCATGTGCATATATGTGTGTGTGTTACTAACTTAAAATATTTGTGGCTGGGCGCAGTGGCTCATGCCTGTAATCCCAGCACTTTGGGAGGCCAAAGTGCAGGTGGATCATGAGATCAAGAGATTGAGACCATCCTGGCCAACACGGTGAAACCCCATCTGTACTAAAAATACAAAAATTAGCTGGGTGTAGTGGCACATGCCTGTAGTTCCAGCTACTCGGGAGGCTGAGGCAGAAGAATTGCTTGAACCTGGGAGTCGGAGGTTGCAGTGAGCTGAGATTGTGTCACTGCACTCCAGCCTGGTGACACAGCAAGACTCTCACCAAAAAAAAAAATACATATATATATATACACTCACACACACACACGTATATATATAAAATAAAAATAAAAATTGTATTTATAGAATAATTAAAATGAAATGTCTTCATTGGAAAATAACAAAAACCTTAAAAAGGAATGGATGTTAACAATTATATAAGCCAGACTATATTCAGGCTTAGATATGTTTAATGAATTGAAATATCATATAGCCAGGGAAAGGCACCACTCATGCACAACCCGACGCTGTATACTTTCTTAACCAGTAATTGTTCTATACAATTCTATCTCTTATGCAAATTGAAATTATCCTAGGGACATTATGATGATAATGTATCTTTCCAGTTTACACTAAAAGCATACTCAACCTGTAGGTATGTACTATGTGAGGGGAAACATTTTTTTCCATAGGTCAAGCCGCAAACCATGGCCTCATTAGTCACAGAAACTTATCATGAGGCAGAAATTATTTGACTCATTGAGGAATATTTCTTTCCCCTTTTTACATTATGGAATTGTAAATTCTTTAGATATTAGTTATGAAAAAATTACAAGATATTTGTCAAACTGAGAAAACCTGCCCTCTGAGGTCCCTTAAACGAGAATCAAGGAGGTAATGGTCAGATTTGCAGCACTACCAGAATTGTTATTGGATCCATTTCCATTTAAGTTTTTATGTGGTTTGATATTTTCCAGGAATTAGAAACTACTAAGTTCAATGAGATAAAAATGTATAAAAATTATTAAAAAGAAATTCATATTGAAAAGGGGATAATGAGGATTGGTGACGTAAGGTCAACATTGGGCTTAAGATTGTGTGGGTAGAATTGGCTCTAGCAGAGTATGTAACTATGATTGGACACCTGTCATAATCCTTCCATTGTATTGTAGAGTGGTTTGTTGTTGTTGTTGCTGTTGCTGTTTTGGAAAAATTGGTGAATACATGAATAATGTAAATGGTTGCATTATGACACCAGCTGCTCAAATATGTCACAACTGCATTCCATACTGAGCACTGCCTCATTACCAAAGTAAAAAGTGATCCATAAGATTGAGCAGAACAAGTTTTCAGTAATTAAGTAACAATATAAGAGATACAGCAACTCAAAACTGGAAACATCAGCAGACGTATTTTTTTCTTCCTTTGTTCTTTCTTCAACTGATATATCAAAGAAAGACCGGTTCATTTGAAATGAGCAAGCAAATGATCCTTACACAATCAGGTAAAAAATGAGACCATCTGAGGAAAGATTGGGTTAAATACTAGAAATTAAAAGGTATGTGCTGGAGACACTTATAATTTAGTAAGATTTACAATTTTTCTCCTTTCCAATATTCTCACTTTGCTTTAAATCTTTTAAAAATCTTTTTCTGCTTGAAGTTCACTGAGTATTTTAAGCGGTCTAAAATCTTAAATTCTATGGATTTTAATACATTCAGTAATGTCTGTCACCATCATCACAGTCCATTTTAAAAAGTACTTTAAATTTATACTAAATTCTAGTGAAATATAGAAAAGCTACTCTTAGATAGCTGTATTCCCTGTTCCCCATTTTTGTGCTATTGTTATACACAGTACATTTGTAAATAATAAAGACATGGTTATAGTTGTTGTTATAATTATTTATTTATATAATTTTATGCTTTTTTAAAAAATTGAGGAAAGAAAGAAGTATATATTTCCAATGTTTATTATATTAACCTTCTTATTTATAATTTCTGGTTCTATTAATTTGTTCCTGTGGTTTCAGATTATCATATGTTGTCTTTTTTTTTGTTAATACATAATATTTGTGCAAATTTATGGGGTACATGTGATATTTGGTTATATGTATAGTGTGCATAAAACTCAAGTCAGATTATTTAGAATATCTATCACCTCAATGACTTCTCATCATTCAGTATCATGTTAGCTGTGGGTTTGTCATATATGGACTTTATTAGTTTGAGGTATGTTCCTTTTATGCCTAAGTTGTTGAGAGTTTTATCATGAAGGAATGTTGAATTTTATCAAATGTTTTTTTCTGCATCTACTGAGATGATTATATGGTTTTGTCCTTCTTTCTGTTGATGTACCTTGTTTATTGATTTGCATATGTTAAACCACCCTTACATCCGTGGGATAGATCCAACTTGATCACAGTGCATTATCTTTCTGATAGGTTGTTGAATTTGGTTTGCTAGCACTTTGTTGGGGATTTTTATGTTTATATTCAACAGAGATATTGACTTGTACTTTTATTTTTTTATGTCCTTGTCTGGTTTTCGTATCAGAGTAAATGCTGGCCTTGTAGATTGAGTTACAGAGAATTCCATTTTCTTCAATTTTTTTGGAATAGTTTGAGGGGAATTGGTGTTAGTTCTTTAAAGTTTTAGGAAAAATTGGCAGTGAGGCCACCTGGTTGTGTTGGGAACATTTCTAGACCTCTCCCTAGCTATTCTGAAATACAAAATCATTGTTACTAACTATAATCAACCTCCTCTGCTACTTCTTAATTCAATCTTGGTAGGTTATATGTGTTCAGAAATCTGTCAGTTTCCTCTAGATTTTCCAATTTATCAGCATATAGTTGTTCATAATATTTTCTGATTATCTTTTGTAACTCTGTGGTATCAGTTCTATTTCATTTCTGATTTTGTTAATTTGTATCTTCTATATTTTTTAAGTTAGTCTACCTACTGGTTTTTTTTAATCTTTATCTTTTTAAAACACCAAGTTTTGATTTGGTTGATCCTTTGCTTAAGTATCTATTTCACTTAGTTCTGCTCTGATCCTTATTTCTTTCCTTCTATTAATTTTCGTTGATTGGTTTGTTTTTGCTTTTCTAGTCTCTTGAGGTGCATTGTTTATTTGAAACATTTCTACTATTTTGATGGAAGTGTTTATTGCTCTAAACCTCCATTTTTAGCATTGCTTTTGTTATATCCCATAGGTTTTGCTATTTTTTTTCATTTTCATTTGTTTCAAGAATTTTTTATTTCCTTTTTAATTTCTTCATTGATTCAGTGATTATTCGTGAGCATTTTGCTTAATTTCCATGTGTTTGCACAGTTCCCAAAGTTCCTCTAGTTACTGATTTCTAGTTTTAATCTGTCATGGTCTGACAAGATACATGATGTGATTTTGACTTGTAAAAATGTGTTAAGACTTCTTTTGTGGCTTAACATATGGTCTAGCCTGGAGAATGTTCCGTGTGCTCACAAGAAGAATGTGTATTCTTTAGCTATTGAAAAATATACTTTGTAATTATCTGTTAGGGCCATTTGGTTTAAAATGATGTTTAAACTCAATGTTTCTTCATTGATTTTCTGTCTAGATGATCTGTCTAATGCTGAGAATGAGGTGTTGAAGCCTCTAGCTATTATTTTATTGGAATCTCTCTGTCCCTTTAGATTTAATATGCGCTTTATATATTTGCATACTTCAATGTTGGGTGAGTATAAGTTTAAAATTGGTATATCCTCTTTCTGAATTGATCCTTTTATCATTATATAATAATTATCCTTGTCTCTTTTTATTTTTTTTGACTTAAAGTCTGTTTTATCTGAAATAACTACAGCTACTCCTGCTCACTTCTGGTTTCTGTTTGCATGGAATAGTTTTTCCATTCTTTTATAACCAGTCTATATGTTTCTTTACAGGTGAAGTGAGTTTCTTATAGGCAGTATATAGTTTGGTCATGTTTTTAAAATCCATTCAGCCATTCTCTGTTTACATTCAAGAATAATATTGATATGTGAGGACTTATTCCTATTGTTTTCTTATTTTCTGGTTGTTTTCCTTATCCTTTGTTCCTTTCTTTCTCTTGTGTTGTTTATCATTATGGTTCGGTGATTTTCTGTCATAGTAACATTTGAGTTCTTCTTCCTCATTTGTGTGTTTGCACATCCAGTTTTATGACAGTAGCTATCCTTTTGCTTAAGTGTAGTACTCCTTTAAGCATTTCTTGTAGGGCCAGCCTAATGGTGATGAATTCCTTCAGTTTTTGTTTGTCTGGAAAATACTTTATTTTTCCTTCATTTATGAACAATAACTTTGCTGAATATATTATTCTTGGCTGACAGTTTGTTTTCTTTCAGCCCTTTGAATATATCATCTTATTTTCTCCTAGCCTGTAAGATTTCTGCTAAGAAATCCACTGTTAGTCTGATAACAGTTTTCTTGTATGTGGCTTGTATCTCTGTCTTTTACTTTTGACAGTTTGACTATAATGTGCCTTGTACAAGACCTTTTTGGGTTGTGTATATTTGGGAATCTCTTGTTGACATGGGTAGTTTTCAGCCATCATTTTATTAAATAGTTTTTATATGCCTTTTCTCTTGACCATGTGGAACAACCACGATTCAAAACTTTGGTCACTTTATGATGTTCCATGTGTCACATAGGCTTTATTCATTCTTTTTTATTCTTTAATCTTTGTTCTTTTTTTTTTCTCTCTCTCCCTCCCTCCCTCTCTCTTTTGTCTGACTGTGTTATTTCAAATGACCTCTCTTGAAGTTCTGAAACTTTTTCTCCTGCTTAGTCTAATAATTGTTGAAGATCTTGAATGTATTTTTTTTCATTATTATACTTTAAGTTCTAGGGTACATGTACACAATGTGCAGGTTTGT